TCCAGTTACAAAAAGTCATTTGGTGCATTTAAACAAGGTGAGTGCGTGCTTTTTCTACTTAAAGTTAATCAACCATTCTGGGGTTTGAAAAATTTATTCTAGTAGGATTTTACAGAATCCATTTAAACAACTCCATGTGACACACTTGAGGGCAGTCAATTAAGCTGACCACTTTCTTATAATTTTCGTATTTAGATAAAGTGACTTTATTTGAAAACCCATTATCGTGAGCCTTCCTCCAGTGTGTTTTTCAAAAAGTTGCCCATCTTGCCGTTCAATGCAAATCTACCTGTTTGTTGTACAGTCAGTTATCAAAAGGTGTTTTGGAGTCTCATTTCCACTTTAAAGTTTATCTTTGAGCTACCAATAAAGTCACCTTTTAATGTGCAAAATTGGTATAGCCATGCACTTATTTTCAAAGAGCTCTCCTTTTTTTCGGAAAAAAAATCAAACGTCTTCCTCTCTCTCTTTAATTATAAATCCCGTAACTTTTCCTGTTTAAGCTGGTATAACAAATTCGGCGGTGTAATTAAGTTACTTCAGAAGTCTTGGTTATCGCCCACGCATAAATTGAATGGGGAGGTCTTGTCTCATTTCAGAAAACATCCTATTTTTTTTGGTAACTTGGTCTCTAGGAATTGGTAATATGCCCAATTATGGTAAAATATTTTCTTTTCAACGAACCATCTTTTTTCTGAATAAAAGCGGGAGAGGAAGTGGGGACACTAGACGGTCTTAAAAATATTGTGCCTACAAATGGAGCAAAAATCGAGAAGGATGCATCGTGAAGTAAGCAGTGAGTAATGAAGTGGTAATTTTCGTCGGTTTTTTTCTCCTGCTCTTGGTTCTTCATCCCTACATTACCTACCTCTCCTTCACCCCGTTGTTTTGAGGGTTATTTCCGAGGCTCTTCTTAGCACCTCTTTTTACTGTCAGTGCGTAGTCTTTAACCATGTATCCTAATGGCGGTGTAGCATTATAAAGTGGTATCAAGCAATTCGTTAATGCGATTATCTGCATCACTCAAAATGAATTTTTGCTGCAGCAGTCGTGGGATTCACAATGTATAGGGCTACACTTGATCCAGAGAGCCGATCTGCCGTGCTCATGCCATTTGTCAAAGTGCGTCCCTTGTGATGAGCTAAAGGTCCACTAACGCTTGCACCAATGTATTTTTTGTCCGTCTTCCTCTTTACGTCCACTTTCAGACCTCTACATCCCCAGTATTGGTTAGCAAAGATATCAAATCTTGTTAGAATGTAGAATTGCACAAATGATACAAATTTTATGAGGGCATGTAATTTGCCTCATCTTGAGGAGATCATTAATGTCGTCTCGGTCACGCAATTAATCCGGAACAAGCCGGATATTTTGCGCCTTTCAAGTAATGCCTCGGCGTAAAATTTAGACTTGAGTTCTGTATGTACAAATTTGCTAGTTAGGTGTACATAGTACTCATTTACTTTTGCAGTTGGTAGTAGTATATCACGACTTTGATGTTGGGACGTGTTTGAAGTGGGTACGAGTAGATTTTTTTTACTACTCCATTTAATCATACATTTGCGGTCTAAATAATTGAAAATAATTGTTTTTTTTGCACTCTTTTAGGAATTCTTGTGTGCGTGTGATGCTATGTGATGAATATTAAAGCGCACACGCACCCACCGAATTCCATTCTCACCAGTTGAAAGACTGCACCTTTGAAAATTTTTTATAGACCATTAAACTGACCAGTAAAGTTGAATCACTTTGGCATATAAAGTAGTTTTTTTCCCACTTAGGAGATACCGATTTCATGCATTGTTTTGCTCTTTTAATCAAAGCACTAAAATCAGAAAATACAGGCACAACACAAATAAAGCGCACTGATGAATGCGAAAATATGGAAAGAGGGTATTTGGTGACCTTTTCATGTACTTTACCGCCTTGGCGAACACTTGGTTGCAGTGTGCCGATTGACCAACGTCTATGCTTCGAATGTAATCCTGGAGTGGAGACGATGGTATTTTGCATTCTCCCATTTGTGTGGGGTGAAATTATGCGCTTTTTTTCTATCATCGACTTAATATTTTATCAACAAAGAGAATTGAGGGACGGGTTATTACCAGATGGAAAGAGGCATCCAGTTTGGGGTGGATCTAAAACATGGCTCAATGAATGGCTAGAGAGAACGGTAGATTAATTTAGGATGAATAAATTGATTAAGCGCCTTCCAGTAGTTGGATCAGGCATTCACGGACTTGGAATAGATTAGATCCAAAGGAATTTGTGCCTAAGACATTGATGGATAGATAGACAGATCTAAAATGAATGAATGAATAGAAAGGATAGCCTAATGTATGCAGATTTGATGGATTGACAGATCAAAAGTGAGTGAGTGGGTCCATGATGAAAATATTGTTTCTAATGCATGGACCCGAAAGTTTTATACAGATGTGCCGACAGAAGAAAGTAGATAGGTAGTTCAGGTGCAAAAAATTAGTCAGAGAAAGGATCGAAAGTCGGTGAATCGAAATGGTGTGGAGTTTGGATGGAGAAGTCATGAATTGATGGATGAATGGATGTATGGCCAATATATAAATTAGAGGAGAAGGTAACGTGGAGTGATGAATGAGGGATGACTGAACGGTCAGATGAGGGAGTAGATAAATGATCGAGAGATGTATAAATCAAGAACAGATGGATGGTAGTCTGGGTGGCCAGATGCGTAAATGATAGGAATAATGAAAAGAAATTTAGGCTCTATTTTCTTTCCTCACTATCAAACAATGAAAAAGTTGGCGGCTAACTTATGGCGCTTTTCTGTTGTAAATCTTTTCACTTTCTTTTACTTGGTCGCAAAAACAAACAATTTTAAACATACTTTATTACCAGAGGATAGTTATAACCGAATCCTGTTTTACTGGTTCATTCATGTTTATTATCCCCTTTTTTCCCCTTAATGCTGCATTCTCAAGGAGGTGATGACATTGTGTCTAAAAAGTTTAAAAGGTATTTAAGAAAGCAAGATGACTCCTATAACTTCACTTTCCATCCCCTTTCCTCCCGCCCTACGAAAAATGAATCTAAGATACTGAGGCAATCAAAAAGTCGGTGGAGTTATTACGTGCGGTAGCTTCTAAGGAAGGGAATGCAAAATACGATTTTTTTATGTGCATTATAAAGTGAAGATGCACGTCTGTCCTTCTTTCCCGCTCCTAACCTCCTCCCTCCGCCCCACTGCCAGCCTGCTTCCCTGCTATTTTAAACTACTTTTTTGTTCACAGACGACAACACCAGCTTTGTATGTGCACGGTGAACTGCAAAAAGGGAGTCAGTAAAACAAAAGTTATGGCTGAGTTGTATCGCTCTGATACAATTCGAGTGTGAATGGGGAAAAAGCTCGCGTCTTTGGATACAAATTGAACGAGCAAATCCGTTGCTACACTAGACGGAACAACCTCACACTTCATTAGGCAGAACTTATTTATGAGGCAGCTTGCACTTTAGGATTTGAGGCGGGAGGAGAGGGAGATCACCTCATCACCTCCCGTCTCAGTCTTCCCATGACACTTAGGAAATAAAAATGAAGCGGAAACGGAGGTGACTACGGCTGAGTTGTTCGAATCTGAGGACGCGACATTCTTTTGCCAAAAAGAGGAGTTCGTTGCAGACTCTTGTATCGGTGGAAAAAAGTAAAATGGTTCTCTACACTTCCCCTAACTTTAATATCCCACTTTATGGCAGTGAATATCAACACGATAAATCCTTCGCCTTAATGCGAACACCTACCGAATGTGATAAGCTTGTGCTACCCATGCAAACATCCCAACATCGTACTCAAAAACAAGTTAAAGGAATGCTTCCCCTTCTTCAGTGGCACGACTAATCCAATAAATAGCACAGTCGCCTGCTTTCCAGGGTATGGCTGCTCCAGTTATACCAAAAAAGAACACAAGACAACCGGCTTAGTGGACAAAAATGGTCACATGATGCTCTAAAAGTTGATCAACACACATCTGTGTTAAAAGCAAAACCAACAATGCCATCTTATATTCATTTACTAGAGCGACAATATTTTCATACTTATTTGCAAGACCCATTTTAAATTTGCGAAAAAGATCCTTGAGGGGAATATTTACTGCCTACGCACTATTGACTCACTTGAACAAATGGTCCCTGTGCGAATTTCTGTGGACTTAGCTACGCAAATAAAGTAAAATCCACTTTTAAATTTTTTTAGATTGAAAGTAACTTGTTTTACTAATGACTACGCGAAAGTCACCCCTTGACTCAAATGTATTTTCAATGCGTCGGTACAAATAATTCGAGCATTTTTAAAACTGGAAATTCTTTTTGATGCAACCTTATTGACGATGAAGGAAGAAGAAACAATTGTCTTACGATAGAAGGTTCTCCGAATGCTTAAAACATGTGGATTCTCGAGCCGTCTCGAAGTATGAGTACAAGTAGTGCTAATGTAGAGAAGTGTTGGCAGGATGCTTAAAAGGAGGGGCACGAAAGCTAACCGATTCGCGTAGTTAAGTCACAGCCATCAAAACCATCTAAAGTAACTTGTAAATTTCCCAAGAGGTTGGTTATTGGACATGTCTGGGTAAAATGTGTGCTTTTCTCCTTCTACGTATCCCAGTGAAGACGTTTCTGTTTGGCACCTTAAATTCCAACTGTGCACATTTCTGCAACTTTGCCGACTCCGCGCTTCTGACTGTTTGTCTCCCTTTTCTAGAGAAAACTTTCATTTACTGGCAAAGTTATTTACTTAATTTAAAAGGGGAATTTGGATTTTGGGCTCAGGAAATCAAATATGTCGATCCGTCTTCCCCGAGTTGGACCGAGTAGGCGGCGTCAGGTAAGTTGTGTTCCATTAGCAAATTATACCGCCATCTTTCTTTCTGCTTCCTCTTTCCCCCTCACTCCTCTTATTTGCATCAGTGGGTTAAGGGATGCTTAGAGAGTCAATTTTGACATTCTATGCTTGTCATAAGCCCTCCTGAAACCCCTTTTAGTCATATTATGGGAAATTTTAGGCGTTTTTTCACTTCTTAAAGACCAGCGAGACAGTAAGACTCCTTTTTTGCTTACTTCATCCTCCAAATCGCAGTACGGTGATTCATCTCTCTAGGTGGCTGCATCCTACCAGATGTACTAGTGAGGCGCTTTCTTTCCGCCAACACGATCACTTGTAAATAATATACTTTTTCCCTAGGCAAATTTCACGTGGGAGAATTTCCCCTCTCACAGAGCAGACAAAAGAGAACTCGTGTTTTTTGGTACAAATGTCTCTGCGTCCACACATACATTCTAGACAGAACACCTCCTGTCGTGTGTGGAGGAAATACTTTGACTAGGCGATGATAACCACCAATTTGATTTGCAAAGCACAGACCCACAGTATGATGAGTTTAGGTGTAAGTGGGTAATTTTAGACTATTTTAAAGGGCTAAAGTGTTGCGTCACGCATATGTGACGAGCGTCCCTCATTGGCCATCGTCAACTTTCGACCCTAGTCAGGATATGTCGGCGATAGAGTTACTTAACTTGAAAAATAAAGGAAATACAGGGTATTTTAGGTTTAACGGATGATCTTCCTTTCTTACTTTTGGAACCCATTCGGCATTAACAGAACAATAGGCCCTCTGGACTGGCTTGAACTTTTCTTTTCCCCCCCAGTTACTGAGCTATTGCAATACTTTTTTACTGAATGAAAAGATGCCATTTGTGATGAAGATGAAATATGACAGGAGAGATGGATTATAAACACCTATTTTGTGTGAAGAAAAGACATTTCATAAACACCATCTTTCGCATTTTCATATAAAAGTAATAGGAAAAATCGGGAAGAGGAGGTTATTCGCTCTCCTATTTTGCTTGAGAAATCGAGTATCACTTGGTTACTGTAAAAGTGAAAGTCGAGTCTGCTCCTTTATTTTAAGCGACATGCACTGAAAACGCGCTCAAAAATGAGCGAGTTAGCCCAAAGGACGGAATTCAACATAGTTTTGTGGGGTAGGGCTTTGAGTTTATTCCTCCTTTACACGTTGTTCTCACCTCAGAGCTGCCCAGCTGCATCTACCTGGGTTCTATCCAGCTAACAGAGAGGTGAAGGCAGTATCATGTTTTCGTTCAAATGACATCTTCATTCAGGCGCCGTGAGCAGCTCCGTGACGAACTTTTCCGGATGGTTTACGGCTAGCATTGCTTCACTTGTTAATCGCTTTCCTGCAGGCCAGAGGTTTCGGTGGTTACCGGAAGTAGGCTTCATTATCAACACTTCTATTAGAGGTCTTTAAGGATTCTCCCATCTCCAGCATATACCCTTCTTCTGTTGCGTTAAGGTTTAGCCTTTAGCAACAGAAATCAGAATGTTTATCCCTTATGATCGGGTTCGCTTTCCGCCACCTCCAATGCAGAGCCTCCAGTATATTCTAAATTCGGAAAAATTCGTAGAAGTATGGTGGAAGACATACTACTGATGTATAATAAGGCTGAGAGGCTACTGACATGGCTCAGAAACCATGTCAGAGTGCTACGTGCCCGTGTGACCGAATTGCCGAATTGATGGACGAATTTGAGGCCTCTAATTCCATATTGAACATCCAAGTTTTGTACTTATAAGTCATTGTTTAAAATTTGACCTTTCATCCCCTTTTCTTGGTCAGTTGTAGTTAAATTTTTACCAAGAGAAGGCGAGAACTGATAGTTTACACTCAGTCATATTGATGGTGATTTTACCTGGCTGTTGTAGAATTCTGCATTCTTTTCTTCGAAACTTCATTTTATTCTCCCACCTGTTTTTCTCTCCAACAAAAAGTGCCTCACACCCAGAGACAAACAACCTAGCAGTAGCTGTCTTCGCTTCTCCATCTCAGGATTACTTTCCACTTGTCTCCTCTGTTTTTCATGTGGTCATACGATGGCCTGAGGCTAGTGCCAAGAAAAGTTGACGATAGCCTCTCGAGCGGACATTACCAAGGGAATAGAGAAGATGCGAAAGAGGTGATATTCCCCTCTCCCTCCCTCCTAAATCCCTTAAGTAAAAATCTCCTTATGGGCAAATTTTGCTTTATGAAGTATGAAATTCTTCGATGTGATGTATTGCAGTGCGCCATGAACTGGGGTTTATGGGTGTGAGCTTGGATCCTGTCAACTTCGCAATCCAAAAAGGGACTACAGTGTGTAGAGGTCTTTATTACCGTCCACTGGAGACATTCGATGAATTCAATTCTTGCCGATTTACAGCAGTTTGATTGACCTTCCAGTGTCTACTTGTACAGGTCAAGTCTGTTTGTGCATGATATCAACCAATCAGGGGAGCCGAGCGAGGGCGCCAATTTTGAACGTTTGGAAATTGAGGGTGTAGTAAAAAAGGTTCGTTAAAATTTCCACTTCATCACACACTTCTGTGTGTAGGTGAACAAAAGTTTTACCGTAGACTATTTTTTTTCACTATCGAGAAGGCACTTGACTCCTCAAACCTTGTTTATTTATACCGTTGCTAGTGGAAACCACTACGCATTGTCTGAAATGCGAATTTGTGCAGAAGAACGCGCAAATGGATAGACAGAAGGTAGAACGGTAGTGAGACAATGTAATAATGCAGCATTTCCTCATTTGTTTTGCCAACCAAATAATGAATACAACTTAGGGGAAAATTTGTCATTGGCTCCGAGCTTTGCTTTCTCGTGCTCCGCCTTCCCTCCACTCCCACCTCTCCCCTTCTCCTGCGTCTCTCATTCTCCTTTCCACCGCTCTCACTTCTTTCCCTTTTCCTAATTGTCAGAAGCGTTCTTGGAAGTTATTTTTACGCCTCTGTGATTGAATCGGAGGCGACTTCTCCTTCACTATGTGCTCATTTTTATGGCGAGTTATACGATTTGCACTTCCCTGATGTGGCTAATTAGGTGGAAGTGAAGTAGTCACCTTCTTTATTTGAGAAAGTATATAAAAATTTGAATTTGCAAGGTCTATTTCAAGCTTTGAGATGACGATTTTTCTCTCCAAAGTCGAAGCAGTTAACAGTGGTTTTGTCCGTTTTAGATAAGTCCGAACCGCTCTTCTATCAGGAGCCAATTGAAATGGGCAATCAACAGGTCACAGTTCCACCTCATCATCAAAATCGGCTCACGGTAACTTTCTTTTTTTAATGAAATGTGACAACTGACCCAAAAATCCTCCATTTGAATGCATCGTAGGACGGGGAGTGAGTGAGAGAGAGAGAGGAAGATAGATACCCACTTCCTTTGTCCTGTACTTCTCCCACCTTAGCTTCTCATAGCCCCAGATTTAGTTAAACCTGACAGAAGCGATTTTCACTTCTTCAAGATTGAATTTGAGTCTTTGCCAGAGGCAGGCGTCTCGTCAAATCGGTTGTCCAACAGCTAGAGGATTGTGGTTACCTCCATTGGGGATGGTCGACATGTGGATTAATAAATGCCAACATTTCTTTGCCAAAAAAACTAGTTGAACCTGGAAGTGTGCGTGATTTTGGTTTGCCTCTCATTTAATTGGCGTTCTCTCTTCAAAGGTGAGAGATTTCTAATTTATGGAATGGGATAGGCTTGAAGGGTGTCACGCTTTATCTATTCCCTTCTGGGAATGCGTCTTACTTTTGCTGCGACTGTTTGATGATCTCGCTTTTATTGTAGAAGGAAGGAACGCTTCGGACGTTTTTTTTGAAATTATTTGCGTTATGGGTAGCCCGAGAACTCAGCTTAGTGCTTAAGACGTGGATTTCAGGTCGGCTTAAATCGCCCCGACATCCTACCGGTTTCATGATGCCACCGAAATTGAAAGTGGGGAGGGAAGTTTTTTTTTGTCCAAAGTTTAAGTCCCCTTATGGATACTTGGTTAAAGACCCACTTGAAGCACACACTTTGCAGACATTAAATCGCTTTCCAGTTGGAACAGGGGGAGGGGGAATAAACTACTCACGTCAAGCCTGTGGTCGTGGTTGTGGCTTGATGGATCTCCCTCTTCCTCTCCTATCCATCAAGCTGGAAGAGCAACTTTCAAGGATTTGATCCTAATCATGCAGAAGGTAGTGAGAGAAGAGTCCACTTCAACCCTGAGCAAACATGCTGCTGGAAATGAGTTGATGCATCTGGAGAACCCACACCCACACGTGTGCCTTTTGACAAATGACAAGGTAGACAACATCTGGGCTAATCGTAGTTGTTTGCAATGAAACTACGAAAGCGCAAGAAACAGTTTTTGAAAGGACAAGTGCAACTTCTCCTCCCTATCAACAATCTGTATGCACTTTGGACCACTTCATATCAAGATGGTGTCACGTCCAAACTGGCACGCTAACCAATTTCTATTTATTTTTCTCTCAAAACTTTGCACACCACAGATGTAAATGTCTACCTGTTACCTCCCTTTATTACTAATCAGAATATCTGTTTACTTTGTCTGTCCTGCTTAGACTGATCAAGATGACATCGGTTCACCGAGCATTCAATCCTCCGCTTCCTCCGCCTCCTCCTCTGTTCCTTCACTACCAGCAACGACTGCCTCCAAAACCGTAGTTAAGACACCGATCCCCATTGGAACGTTGATACGACGACCAGCACCACCGCCTCCGGTGAACACTGCTCAAGGATCATCACCACCTTCACCGGTTACCATGGCGACCACCACGGAGACTGTATCACTACCGTGTACTGCGGCCAATGGAATGGCGTGCGAATTGACGCAGAATGATGATAGGTAAGTTAAAAAAGACTCGCGGTCGGATTTTATAGGCAAAGATTGATTTGACATCAGCCCGCTGGTACATTGCGTGTTCACATTAAACCGGGACTTTGGGATTCACATAAAGAATGAAAATTGAAAAAGCAGCAACTTTTGGGATAGTCAGAAACCAGTGTCCTTCCCTTATAATTTTCTTTCGATAGTCTAATTTTTTGTCTTGGTGCTATGATGGAGTAATTACCTGCATTGCTTGAACCACCTAGTCAGTCGAGTTATGCATTGCCTATTCATCCGGGGTTGGCGTGTTGCTCACATCCAACTTTTACGAAACTAAGGGGGCTACCAGGCACTTAACCGTCTTTAAAGCTTTGATATCGCACAGGGTTAGGAAACCTACGCATTTGCGAATTATTACAAATCTCGTGTCAGTTCGAGGTTTAGAAAGACACCCATGGCCAAATTTGATTCTGTCCAGGCATTTGCTACCCCAAATCCTGAGAGATGGGATTTATGCCGCATTGTTTCGTGATAATGTGATCTTGGCAACAGCGACGGGACCTACTGGCATGATGGGATAAAATATAGTAACTGAAGGGTAACAAGCCCCGGTTTGCCTTTCACATCCTCACTACCTTCCGTCTAACAGATAAAACAAAGGCTGATAGCGAAGTGAAAATGACTTCTTTAAAGTAAAAACTTCAAAAGTCAGTTAGCACTTGCTTTTTGAATGTCGGATTAACGTTAGATGTCTCTTCTTGGCACCTGAAAGTTTTATTTTTTTTCCTGTGGTCGCCTGGATAGTGTTTGGTTATCAAGTTACTTGTTGGAATGTGAGCCATTCTAGGGAAAGTGCTTCAAAATCCAACATTACTTTTTTACAGAGAATGTATATCATTTTCTTCTGTTGAAGAGGAATTGATAGGTTGTCAAAACTTTTTGGCATCAAGATACTACTGAATTGAGTTTTGTTTATCAGTACACATATCTGGTGTGGCATTTTTTAGTAAAACGGGGAGACAACTCATTTTTTCCTTCTCAAAGTCTCATTTAGAGTTTGCTACCTTTAAAAATGCAGGTCCAGGTTAGTTTACTTGCAAAAAGCGTGGCTGTTTAAAAGTGACTCGCCTGATTTATGTAGCTCAAGACTCCCGGCAGAAGTAACATTTTTCCCAAGTAAACGGAGGCATCTCGCACTACAGTTTGTGCAGTGTGTGTCTGTGAGTTTTCGAATTTCCTTTCTTTTTGGACATGACGAAGCCTTCAAATTCGGTATTGTTTCCTGATCCAGTTTTCGTACCAAATAGACGAGCTCCACCAATACCACTTTTATAAGTCAAGAGTGTCATTTCGTGAATAGGAAGCAAAGAAAACCACTGTGTAAACACATATTTTTTCATTGGTAAAAAACAGGAAAACTTTGCTATTTTTTCCTCTAATTTGGGCATGTTTGTCACCTAGAGTGAAGTGTGACCTGTAAGTTGCCGATGGTTAATTGTGCAGTGAAAACTCGGACTTTTTTTTGGGGTCAAAATTCTTTCACGTCTAAATGAAAATTTGCTGATTTTGGCTCTAAAACCCTAGGCTTAAGCAAGTAAATGAAAACATTCCTTTAGGTTTTCTTTCCTGACAAACGATAGAGATTCCTCAAATAATCACTGTCACAATCTGCCTTTCTACGCTATCTAGGGAGCGGAGAATTCCACCTCTGACTCCTTCAAGAAAAAATGGAGGATGTTTATGCAGGCATTTGAGTCGTTTTGACCTACACAAACGATCGCTCGGATATTTTTGGGCCAACGGTTATTCTTATTTTGCATTTGGGTGTTTTGAGTCTTCAGTGCCGGCGCCGCCAAAATTTCAAACGGAGTAATCAAGAAATGAGACTTTAGGTAAAGGAGGTCTTTAAAACCGACAGCGTGTGCATCGAGAACAGGGTCCTTGGGTTCATCTCGTTCTTGCGCATTTATCGTGTTCTAATTGGCTGCGGTGGAGCACACTTATTAACCAATCAGGGGAGGAGTGACAGAACGAGAGCCCTAACTGCAGTCAATTACAAAAATTTTGAGAAAAAAAGGCCTCTGCAGAAGTTACGGGTACCTCCAGGTGACACCGTAGAATGGTGACGAAATCCAGCCTCCTATTTTCAAAATAAGTCAGTAAAATCCAACCAATGACAATTAACATTAGGCGTTCTCTCACTTTAAAGTCTTTTTTCTGCAAAAAATCAAGCATCCAGCTTAAATAAAAAGCCCAGCAGCATTTTTAGTTGTTATCCTTTTTCACCACTGCTCGTTCTTGGTCAGGAATTTCAATTACTTGTCAAGTTGGATTTCCGGGAGAATAGGGACGACATTGGGATTGCTGTCATTACTGATTGATTAAAAATCAAATAGAATATTTCACTTGTTAGAGATATTTAGAAATAACTCATTTTAAAGGTGATAATGATAGAAAGAAAAGAGGCGAACAATTTTGTTTGAGAAAACAGACAATTTGATGCCTTAGGGCCGTGGGAAATGTTGGTTGTCAAATGTCACATCCTGCGTCCAACAGGACTTAGAGGTCGGGAACTGCTGACAACACCTTCAAGGGAGTAGCATTTCGAGTCCAACTCAAAGTCTTAATACCTTGATGTTAGGGCTGTCAAACCGTTGACGCTGGGGTGAGATCGCGGTAGGAAAAAGGAAATACAAGTCAGTCACGAGGATCGAAGTGCCCGCACGGCTGAAGATGCATTAAAGCAAACATTAGACTAACCGAGATTTTTGTTGGTAAAATACCCTCAGCGCATATATTTTTATCCGCTCTCTTATCTCCATCTTGAAGAAGGTATTTTTAATTCTGTGCAGCCTACCACAAAAAGGAGGGAGGGATATTCATAGGTAAGCATGACGGCTTTGTGATTCCGACGACATATTTGACAAGCTTTTTTTTCATAAACATATCATGCCTGCCTTCTACTTTAATACTTCAGAATGAGCCTATCTTTCTTCCAAACCGGGTGAGCTTTAATTCACCTGGGCAATACCCTTCTAAATGCACGATGATTTTTAATGGGAAAGGTGGGGGAGAGAAACCAAAAAGCACCCTTTTAAATTTGCTGATTGGCAGGAGAAAATTTGACTTTTTTGGTTGGGCCAAACAGTTGGCATCAAGTCTTTGGTGGTGATAGATTCCATAAAATTGAGGTCTTTTTCACTTTTTATCATATCACTGACCACTAAGGGGGGTCGGATGTTGGGGTCTGAGGGGAGGGGGCGTTTCTTAGCTCTTTTGGTTTTTCTGAAAAAAAATGAGGATCCATTTTGTTTATAAATTTGCGTTTAAATGTTTCAATACCTCACCCCACTCTTTGATTTCTTCTGATGAAATGAAGTACCTCCTTCCTCGTATACAACCTTGACAGGTTTGATGAGTACTCTTAAAGGGTTTAATTATCCCCTTTTTTATCCGCAGTGCTTAATATTCAAACAGAAAGTATTGTTTTATTTGCAAATTATCAGGACGAGAAGAACGAAAAGTCGGTTTTTTTATATCCCTGGTAAATTTAAATGCTATCAAAGTGAGAATGTGAGACGCGCCACCGTGTGGGCGGACCCCGGGGTGAAGTGATGACTGATGCGGCAGCTGTATTCCGTTGTTGTTGTTGTTGTTAAGCCAAATCGGTTATTTAGTGATTACAAGTCTTTTCATGTTCTAAAAATAGTGCGAAATTTGTAACCTGACGGTTTTTTTTGCCACAAAGATAGCCCATGTGAAACGGCAACTTTGGGGTCCTCCTTTTAAAAGCCGCACACAGTCGGCGGTGGCCAGCAAACTCCTTTTTTTCCATAATATTATCCGCCAAAATTTCGAGGTAGGCTTATGCAAAATGTGGCCTTTAAACAAGAAAAGAAGCTTTTTTGTTTGTCATCTTGCATACATCTATAGTTTGGCAGCAAGTTGAGATGGTGGGTTAGTCTAATTCTATCCTCTGGGTAAAGCATAAATAACCTTTCTCACCTGATTATTCAGCTTGTCCACTTACGTCTGAGAAACAATTTTTCCCCAAAAAAGGTTGCGAAAACAAATTTACTGACATTCTTGCAGCGTTTTAATCTGAAAGTTCTTCTCGACGAAAGGCAATCAGGCTGCAGCCTTCACTTTTACGCAACTTTTTCTATTCAGAAGCAGACATACTAGTCGTAGGATGTTTCTCCCTTTTTTCACACTTGACTCCCTCTCAACTGTCTCCTCCATTTTACATGAGATTGTGTCATTTCGTAATGCTCAAATAGGAGAGGGGGGAGGGGGTTTAGTCTCCTGGGCAGCAAGGAGGGGTTGCAAAGTGTCTCCTTTCTGTTAAACCTTTAAAATGTTTCATATACTCCACTTAAAATCCTTTTACAAGATTGTGTATTTTCCCCTACTGGGTTTGATGGAAGAAATAAATGTTTTAGGTCACCAGGAGAAAAAGCGAAATGGAGAAGTGAGGAAAAAACTCTCTTACCTTTAGTCCTTCTAAGGTAGCTAGTTGAATGGCCTTGGTTCTAAAAGATCTGTACCTACTGTTTGGTGGTTAGAGACTTTGAGAAATCACCGCATCTTTTGAAACATTCCCTTATTAATAGTAAAAAACCAGGAAAATAAACATTTGCATATTTTAAAAGCTTCCTTTTTCCACCTATCAAGTGGTGTTGCCTACTTTCTTTCTACGTTTTGATCAGCGGTTGAATTTTGAGGTTGAAACTAAGTAAGACCTGACAACGTCGGTAAAAAAATTTAAAGGGCAAACAGTAGAATACGAGCTAGATTTCCCCTTTTTTATTATGACCTTCCAAAGCCCTTCTCCAAAGCTTCGATTTTTTGGTGGACCTTCCTCACTACCAAGGGAAAAGGAGGCCATCTTTCCATCTCGAGGGCTCTTTCTTCATTGTGGGAGTTGTGCGGTAAACATGATCCCAAAAGGACTTGTTACCGCGTTTTTGGTGTACCTCCATTCAATTATATTTTGTTACTTGTGGTGACTTGGAAGAGGCGCGCATTTTCATCTCCTAAAAGCATATCAGGTCATCGGAACACCATATGGTGTTGCCTTCCTGACTGCTTTTTTCTCCTTAAATTATAGCCCAGGTTCCATTCAATGGATAAGATTTAGAAACAAATTCCTACTCATTTTTGAGGCTTGAAAATTTCGCCACAATGCCGTAAGTCCACTCGATTGGGGTCATGAGTGTACCCGACGATGGGTGCCGTGTATTCACGAGGTCCCTCTTTTCTTTATCCTTAGGAAGAAGGCCTTGCTTTTGTTTTAAATAATCTACACTTAACGTATCAATAAGGACTTTCAATTATGTTCATCATGACTGATGAGAGGAGCGGTTTATCCCCACCTCCTCCCACACCACTTGGAAATGGGGTGATGGAATTCCAGGCGTTGGTAACCAGAGACTAACAATAATTTGCTTTTCTTTTCGCCGTTCATACACACATGATAAAAAACACGCTTTTTCTGTTTTTTTTTGGGACTAGTTGATGACTGATTTGTGGTGTAAGGAATGACTTTTGTAACACACTGTTCACTAGCTGGCTAACTGCTTCCACTGCACATTTCACGCTTCTGTGGAATGCACCACTTTTTGTTCAGAAGACCACTCTGCCTTTGAATGAACGGGTGGCATGTTGCGGTCTTGTCGGCCTCACGAACTGATTCTATGGAAGCGTGTCCCAGCGCTCCGAAAGCTTCTCGTCATATTTAGGGTTGGCTTTAGGGATCCACCGTCGGCACTTTGGGAGTCAATTCATGTCCAGCATCTGTGAGTAGTTCATACATTATCACCAATCTGAGTTATAGGCAGCTGGAGTGGTTGCACACAGTCCTTCAGCAACTACCTCAACCGTCTCCGTAACTCGCCTCTAGAAGTTGGTGTTTACTCCTGCTGAGCATGACTGCAGCTGGCTAGACAGCCTCTTTCTTCGCATTTTCATTAATAGTGAAGAAGGTTTTAAACAGTTTAA